CATAGGATTTATTTACGATGGATGGATTCCTTCCGCATGACCTACAGGCAGTTATTAGTGTCCCACTGATCTTTTTTCTCTTTGGCAGCGCCGACTGTGTTGCACTTCTCCCATGGATGAGGAAGGCTGTGGATGGTTTCTGGCTGCCAGCCTGCTTTTAATTCCATGCTTCAACACCCTCTTCCTCTTCCAGTCGTGCCATACTGATCTCAAAACACCCCTCCTCCGTTCTGGTTGTGGTTTCGCTGGTACGCTCTGACTACAAGGAGATGCCTTTGTATTAAAGGCATCCGAGTGAATATTGCAGGCTGGGTTTGTTAGCTGAAGTGAATCCCATCCTCATCCTCACTTGTGCATCAGTTTGGCTCACGGGGAGGTTTTGGTGCGTTTCAGCACGGTTCCTCTGAAAGGAACCATGAGTTTTGCTCCAGATGCAGATTAAACACAGTCCACCCTCTGAAGGGGGCAGAGGGGTCGGAGTGAATGGCTCTTTGGCCAACTTCAAACCAACCGTGAGGTGGGGACATGCAGTCCAGTGTACCAAAAATCTAGTCTGAAATCACCCCTCCAACCACATAGAGCGTAGAGGTGTGGGCTTGAGCACCACGTGCTTCCATTCACTGCTGCTACACCAGGTGAGATTGCAAGAAGTCCTCGTCCCGGTGGCTTGTGCCTCCACATCTGCCTGCTTTCTCGCAGTTCCAGATGTAGATACTGCCCCTGTGCCTGGGCAGCCTGCCACCGTCCTGCTGCGCAGCAGCATGATGTTACAGGCTGGTGGTCCAGGGGACAATAATCCCGGACACTCGGCTTCCACGCTGCTGGACACAAACCCAATGGCAGCTTCTTGGGATGTCTTGGTGAGAGCTTTTCCCCTCCGAAGACTCTTGCCTTGAAAACATTCCTGCAGCGCTGGAGCTACGGAGACAGCCCAAGGTAGAGCTGGGCAGCGGGGAAACCATGCCGTGCCTTCACATGCAGCACTCAGCTCGAGGCATCTTCTGCCTTCTCTTTGCAGAAGACATTCCTGTTGAAGGACAGTAATTTTGTGCGCGACGTTACTGCTCTGAGCAGGGCTGAGATGACGACTGAGATGCTTCACGAAGCAGCACAGCGCGGGACCCCTGGGGCACAGGGCGGGCCAACTGCATCATCATTCTTGTTAATGGCTTGAACCCGTTGCCCTCAAACGAGGAAGAGTTGGTGCTTAACTAGCGCCACTTAATAGCTCTGAGATTAATGGAGGCGGCACGCGATGCTCCAACACAACCTAAGCTGCCTTCTTGAAAATCCACACATTTCCCAAGGGCTTTAGAAAAAAAAGGAAAAGTGTTAAATAACTCTGATCAAGGTGTTTTTAAAACCATCGGCTGAATTACTCAGTTGTCCTTTAGCTTCAAGAGGGTTGTTCCTCAGCTTTAGATTTCGCTAATCCTTTTAATCAAGTTGTTCTGGGCCACGGGTGGGGTGGCTCTGCCGGTTTGCTGCCAGAATCTGTGTCATACCCCAGCATCCCTGCTGATTTACTCAGAGGATGGGGTTTTTTTTTTTAGGCAAGATATCGGTAAAGGTGATGGTTTACTCCAGGTCAGAGATCCCAACCCTCCTGGGCAGAGATCGGGAAGAGGGGAGTGGACGTGTGCGCAGTGGACTTGGGTTTTTCCTTGGCTTCAGGTTCACGCTGAAGCTGAGTGAATTTGGGTCTCTTCAGGATGTTTTTAGTTGAGGATGGTGCTGTGCTGCGATGTCACAGGAGCCTGGCCACTGCTTAGAAGTAAATTTGATCCGGCGTTCCCTGATTTGGAGTTCTTTGCGGTTTTTCAAGCTCTTCCCAACTTCAGTTGGAATGGGGGGCAGGAGGACATCTCAGGTCTGGGTTTCAGGTGTACTTTAAATTATTAGAATGCTTCTCTGGGATGTTGTGGGCTTTGTCCGGAGCTGTGGTGCTTCAACCGTTCAGTAACTATTGTGATGTGCATTCAGGAAATACATTACCGCTATTTTAAACAAATCTGTCAAAAGCAGCAATGGGTAAAATTGCGGCGGCGCCGTGTGGGCAGGAAGGGGTTACCGGCTGCACCGGGTCGCTCCCGCAGCGCAGGACATGCAGCCACAGCACAGGACATGCAGCCGATTCCTGGAGAGCCATTTGCAAGCACCGCAGTTTCCAGGAACTGGCTGGAGGGATGAGATTAGAGGAAAAAGGGGCTGCTTTTCTTGATGGAGAGCCGTGTCCTATCTGTCCTTCTGTCCCTACCCACCAGCTGCGCTGACAATGATGCCACGACATGAATTCCTCCTCCCTCCCCTGATGACTAATGGCTGCATCTGTGAGTAATTAGATAAGGTGAGGGGGAAGGCTGCGGTGCTGGACCTGTCCTGCCGCAGGATGCTGCGTGGAAGGGTCGGCATCGCTGGGCTCGCCCTGCGTGCGGACGCTGCGGGGTCTCGTTAAGAGAGGAAGGAGAGGGAAGAGGCTGTTTGAGAACTGAGGCGTTCGGAGCCCTCCTTTTCAACGAGGAAATTGGATTGCGGCTGCGGAGCCCACTTGTCTATCTGAAGTGGAGCTGAGCTCATTTCTAGGAGCCATTGGACAGAGTTTGTCGGGTTTTAGAGCCCTTCAGTTCCTGGTAATGATGCCTGCAGCTGGGCCGCCTCCGCTCAAGAGCCCGTCTTCGGGTTTTGTTCTACCTGGGGTGCTCTGAACTCTTGACTCACGTTTCACCGTTGTTCCCGCGTCGCTTCCCGTCTCGCTCACAGCCTTTCTCAGGACAAAGGACGGGGTGCGTGATTCAGGGCAGATAGAACAGCCGTGTTCCTGCATTTCCCCCCTTAAAAACACCATAATTGGTCCAGATGCTAACGAGTAAACACCCCCGCTCCAGTACAGCAGCCAGGGTGGCCCAGCGCCGACTGTTCAGAGAGGCCAAGCTCCTTTTGGCACCATCCCTCCATGGAAGCGACTTTCCTGCCCAGCTCTAACTTCTCCAACTGACAGTATCACAGACTGGTGGACGTCAGAAGGGCCCTCTGGAGCTCCCCCAGTGCCACCCCCCGCCAGAGCAGGGGCACCTCCAGCAGTGGCACAGGACGGCGTCCAGGCGGGTTTGGGATGGCTCCAGAGGGGGAGACTCCCCCACCTCTCTGGGCAGCCTGTGCCACTGCTCTGCCGCCCTCACAGCAGAGAAGGCCCTCCTCAGG